ATATCATCTATCACTTTTTAATTTTCAATTCATTCAAAGACTGCCATTCATTGAAAGGTGTTCTGGTAGTTGCAGTGAGTTGCATTCTTGAAGAGACATCCACAGAAGAAGTCTTAACTTTTGACCAGCAAGTGCTACAACATTGGAACATGAAGATTTATGAGTAGCTTTAGCATTGGCCTGTCCCCTTCCAGTATGTTTAGTTTGTTTCTTTTAGTTCACCTTCATTTGTAATTTATTTTATTGTATATATATTCTTTTCTTTAAAAAAGAAGATAACAGACAGTCCTAGATTGTGTTGAATGTATTTACATGTTATTGGTTGAATGGAAACTTAGTGATCTTTCTATCACTTGATGTATGTTGTGAAGATTTGAGTTTGTTGATGACTATGATTAGAAATTTTACAAGTGTAGATGTATGTAAAATGCATGTTCCACGTTTTAATCCATCTATTCAAAATTTAGTGTTTGTTGCTTATACTGATGTATAAGTGTAAGGGAGAAAAAGAGCGTAAGGAATATTATTTTTGTTTGGGCAGGTTCACCACAAATCAGTTTTACGAAAAAACAAAACAAAACAAAAAAAAGATGCCTAAGATGTATGTAATAAAGTGGGAAGGAAAAAAGAGGAGGACGAGGACTGTAACTTAGATGTATGTATTTAAAACTATAATGAGTGAATGACATATATTGGATGTGATAAACAGCTGTGTGCCCCAACTTAAGTCTCGTTGATCAAGCACCAGAATGATCACGAGAGAAGTGTTGGCCATGGCTGGAACAGACAGTGAGCGAGCTAGTGAACAGTGTCCCTGAGGTAACACTTGTTGTGGTGTCTGAGAGACAGATACTGAGACCCAAGTGTGCAAAAAAGAAAAGAAAAAATAGTCTCGAGGTGTTTGTTCCTCGGAAATACCACACAAGTGATAATTATTTACCGCCAGGCATCTTGGTGTCGTGTTCAACCACTCGGTAAGACACGTCGACCCGGAAATTGTACTGAGGTGCTGTGTTCCTGCAGTAAACAGCCATAATCCTCATCTTAAGTGTTGTTAGCCTCAGCATAGTGCAGTTCAAGGGTATATTTCTCAGCATCTAAATAGATTACACTGTTTTGCTCCAAGTTCTTAGTATTTCTGAATAAAGCTACATTCCTCATCATGTTAGTAATAACAAGAAAGATTGCCATGTTGTATCTGGCATTGTACAGTAATATTTCACCTAAAACTTAAAAGCTCTCCTGAGAGTGCATAAGTACCGTCCGTGGGACACATATTGTGAAATAAAAGGGTTAAAATTATTCAGTTAGCATAGTCTTGATTCCATATCAATTGATTTAGTCATATTTCTTTGAGAATTAGATGATAATCAGGTATATATAGAATCTGTATCATAAACATTCAATTGTATTTTTCAGTACACTATAAACATACAATTGTTTCATCAGGTACACTAAATATGTAATGGTTAAACTGCTTAGCTGGATATGCATTTACTCTGAGGAAAAGACCCAAGACCTGGTTTGCTTGATTCAATTGGATCTGGGGTATTTTTCCTTCTGAAGGAGTAAATACTGTCTGTCAAAGCCCGTGACTTATGCATCAGTCATAATAGCAAGCCAAGGATACCCTCTACAGCAAGGCTTATTTTCTTTTGCATAACAAATTAGTATAGGCAATGATACATTATAATATGGAAGAGAAAATCACCCTTCTGAGATCAGTATCTATGGCTTATAGCAGTTTATCACTTAACAATGTTATTCCTCAAATGTCTTAACAACGTACCCATTAGCACCAGAGGAGCCCATGTCGTTGTTGGTGTAAATAACGGTGGCGTGAGGCCTTAGCAGTGGGGTTCCAAGGGAGATCTCGTGTAAATATAGAGATTGCAGTAGCTCCTGTAACTAGTCACCAATAAAGAATAATATAACCTGATACTATTCCTTTTTATTTTGCCCGAGTTTTATGTTAGCTTCTTCCTGTTAGCGAGTGATCCCTCGAAGCAAAGCACAATTTGTGCTTGTATATGTATTGGGCTAATGTCGGTATTCTCATGGTCTTGTCATGAAATAATCAAGAAATTCCTTGTTAAACTATGGTCAGACTTTATTTGGACTTGAAGATCGTGAATAAAATTGATATTTTCCTGGATGAAAATATTTACTGAAAAGGTATAATGCATATAACAAAGCAATTACAGTGATTATGATAATGTTATCAAATACCAACTCTTAACATGATACCGAATTACAACACCAGAAAGACAACTTTTGTTTTTCTAAGATTACGGTATTAATGGTAAAATCATCAAGAAGGTTGAGAAAAAACCCTTGGAGGATCTCGAATACAAATGATCAACTAATCCACCTTAAAATTCAGCAAGATAAAAGTAGGAACGATCATTCAACCGGTGTCCTCCGATGAAAATTTGAGAAAGGGAAGGAGAGGGGCAGAGAGAGATCACATGAAAGCAGGTCGGTCATTTGAGGGGTAGGCAGTTAACCCCCCCCCCTTCTGGGCCGCAGTCCCACCTTTTTTTGCTTAAATAACACCTTTTTAGCTCGGGTGTTATCTTAGAAATGCTCCTAGAATAGCTAATTAAGTTATCTATTCCATTTTAATTTTTTCCCATAATTGACCATAGGAAAATGAGTAGTTATGACGACTGTCATTTTGAATATCAAATTGCAAGGCCCACAAAATTATAGACTATTATTATAGTAATAATGATGATAAATGGAATATCAGATGTGATACACGGCCCTGCTTCTGTTTTGGCAAAGTATTTTCGTTGGTATTTTCGACAGTACCGATAAAAGAATTTACTCTCTTTGGAAGTTTTAACTTAGCCGCTGAGCCAAATATGAACCCAATACAACGCGGGAGGTTTTGATGACGTCACAACCGTCGATTGGCCGAGGCTGCATTGTGCGTGATGTGGAATCGACCAGTCTAGAGAAGTGCTTCCAAAGAGTAAATTGGACGGAAAATGAGAAATTGTTGGCTGGCTCTGGCCATTCATTCTGCAAAAGCACCTTTATTATTTGTAAAATATATAATTATTTATACATTCTCTTATCTCTACTTGTTTACTCCTTTGCTTCTGCATTCTCCTGCATA